CCCTTCAGCCAGCCTCAAACATAAACAAGTACCTCCCTCACTCCCTCCTTTCCTCAATTCTTCCTCCACGTCCACCATCTCACTAGTATACAGAGTAATGTACAAAGAAACAAAAAGAAGTAGAGAATAAAGAAAGATGAAGTAAAGAAATAAGATTTAAAAATAAATTAAAGAATAAAATATTAAATAACAAAAACAGTTAAACATAAAATGTTTATTAATTGTTACAAACTCGCAAAAACGCATTTAGTAAATTATTAAAAATTTCGAAGCATAAACTATTACGCTGTTGCTAAATACCTGTATACTATTACTGCTAGCATCAATCAAAATTATACTAAGAACAACAGTAAATAATTTTTATTTTTAATCACTATACGAGTTATTTTTTAAGGTTATAATTCTGTATTGCATGTCGTATAGATACGAGTATAAGCAAAAACATATTTTCACCTTTTACTCAAAGCTGGTACAAGTGGACTGTCCTTCGGGCCGATTATTCCAAACATCAGGGGTAAGAATTCCTCTCGTGACTCATAAAACGAGCATTCTCCTGAAAAAACACACAAAAATAAATAAATAAATAAATAAATAAATATAAATATAAATAAATAAATAAATATATATATATATATATATATATATATATATATATATATATATATATATATATATATATATATATATATATATATATATATATATATATGCTGATAACCACAAGGAAAAAGAAAACACGAAGTTCCCAAGCGTTTTTGTGTAATTCACATCTTCAGGGGTGAGTACAGACTAAGCAGAAGTACAAAACAATATTACCTTGTAATTCAATTGACAGTAGGAACATTATAGAATCTAGTCTCATTAAACATACCGAAGCAGTCAACATGAATTTGAGTAATGGCATGTACAAACTGGACAATTTTGTAATTAAGAAGATTTGTAACCAGGTGAGAAGGTTGGGTCATGACTATAATATATTCACTAGTATACTACATAAAGCACAAGAACAAAATATACCATACAGAAAAATTAGGTCAAATAAGAATGAGCTAAGGTGGATGACCAGAAAACTTAAACATGACATAGGAATAAAGAACGGAATATATAAGAAATTAAAGGGAGGGGAGGAGCAGCTCAGAAATAAGTATAATGAACTATCTAGGAATGTTAAGAAAAATGTAAGGAAAGCAAAGAGAGACTATGAAATCAAAATAGCAAGAGAATCCAAGGCGAATCCCAAGGGATTTTTCCAGTTATATAGAACAAAGGTCAAGGACAAAGTTGGGCCTTTAAAGTCAGGGAGGGGAGAAGTGATAAATGGCAGTGAAGAAAAAAGCAAAGCATTGAACAGCTACTTCTTATCAGTTTTCACAGAAGAAATTCGTGATGAAATTCCAGAGGTGGAACTGATATTTAAGGGAAAGGAAGAAGATAAATTATAAAATATCACTATCAGAAAAGGGGATATTCTTAAAAAGATAAATAAATTAAAGAAGACAAAATCCCCAGGTGCAGATGAAATTTTCCCTCGAGTCTTGAAAGAGTGTAGGGAACAGATTAGCAGACCCCTCGTAAACTTATTTACAAAATCATTAGACACCGGAGTTGTGCCAGACTTGTGGAAACAGGCAAATGTAGTACCCATATTCAAAAAGGGAGACAGAGCATCGGCGTCAAATTACCAGCCGATCAGTTTGACGTCAGTAGTGGGGAAATTTATTGAATCATTTATAGCAGATGACATCCAATTGCATTTAGAGGAAAGCAAATTAATCTATGACTCTCAACATGGGTTTACAAAGGAAAACTCTTGTCTAACAAATCTGCTGACATTTTTTAGGAAAGTCTTCGAGGTAGTAGATAATGACGAAAATTAAGATGTTATTTACTTAGACTTTAGCAAAACATTTGACAGAGTACCGCATCAGAGGCTTCTGACAAAAATTAAGGCTCATGGTTTCGAGGGAAAAGTTATAAATTGGATAAAATCTTGGCTCACCGATAGAACGCAGAGGGTCAGCGTAGATGGTGTTAAATCTGAGTGGGGTCGTGTAACCAGTGGGGTTCCCTAGGGGTCAGTACTAGGCCCACTCTTGTTCATAATCTACATAAACGATCTAGATACTGGGATCAGCAGTGACATAATCAAGTTTGCTCATGACACCAAAATAGGTCGGCAGATTAATTCAGGGCAGGAGCAAATGCATTACAGGAGGATCTAAATAAACTGCAGGGGTGGTCTGAAAAATGGCAAATGAAATTCAACACCAGCAAGTGCAGCGTTCTTAATATTGGAAGAACAAATACGGTCAATGTATACAGCCTTAACAACGTCAACCTAGAGAAGTTGACTTGTGAAAGAGACCTTGGGGGTACTTGTAAGCCCGGACCTACGGCCTAGAAAACAGTGCGTTAATGTTCGAAATAAGGCGAACAGAGTATTGGGTTTTATATCTAGAAGTGTTAGTAATAAGAGTACAGAGGTCTTATTGCAACTATATCTAGCGCTAGTCAGGCCGCACCTCGATTATGCGGTTCAGTTCTGGTGCCCTTATTATAGAATGGATATCAATTCACTAGAGTCGGTGCTGCCAAGAATGACGAAAATGATTCCGGGACTTAGAAACCTTCCATATCAGGAAAGGTTAATGAAACGAAACTTTCATTCCCTAGAAAGACGAAGAGTGAGGGGAGATATGATAGACGTATTCAAGTGGGTGAAAGGAATCAATAAAGGTGATATAGATAAAGTTCTTATAATATCCGAGCAGGATAGGACTCGGAACAACGGATTCAAGTTGGCTAAGTTTAGGTTTAGGAGGGAGATAGGAAGGAAATGGTTTACAAATAGGGTGGTGGACGAGTGGAACAAGCTTAGCAACTTTTTAGTAAGTGCTGGAACGCTGGAAAGTTTCAAAGGGAGGCTGGATAAATTCATGGATGATAGAGAGTGGCAGTAACTCTCGACAGGAGGTGCCATGCACAGGCCAACCGGCCTATTGCAAACTCCTTATTTTCTTATGTTCTTATGTTCTTATGTACCCTCTGACCTGACTACCAACCGTTGCGGTGCTTTTTAAAGACTAGTACGGTCATTACCTAATACCTGACCATTGTGGACCTGATCTCAGCCTCCTCTGTATATATACACCTTGTTTTGTACTTCTCCTTAGTCTGTACTCACCCCTGAAGATGTGAATTACACGAAAGCGCATCGGAACTTCGTGTTTTTTTTCCTTGTGGTTATCAGCATATACCTGGATCACGCGCACCTACAGTGATTTGCTCGCATATATATATATATATATATATATATATATATATATATATATATATATATATATATATATATATATATATATATATATATATATATATATATATATATATATATATATATATATATAGATATTGTGATGCCTACATTAAAGATCTTGAGTTGAAGGTATTGTCATAAAAAACAATATTTCCCTTTCAATTTAACCTATTTATTTTAAATTTTAATATGACAAACACAGGCATCCTAAGGTCCCTCAAATTTATTAATTAGAAATGTATGAACGTTTGAAAGTAATTTTGAAATCATTCTTCTCAGCCAAACGACTTCTTTGGTCCATAAGTTTATCAAGCCTGGTGCATAAGTTGAGAATTGTAATTAACTTTATATTATATTTATTTGTACAGGAGTACCTAAAGACAGCACTAATATCCCATTTCCTATTATATGAAATAAACTGTTGAAATTTATTTGAAATTGCAGTTAGTAGAACTATCGATATTTTCTGTTCTAATCTGTGCTAAGGATGATTTAGTCCTGAAAATAAAATATTGCTAAAATGAAAAACAACATTCATGTTTATGAATCACTCTGATTTTACATCGAATTTAAGTAGAAACAATAATCATTAGAAATAATTATATCTTTATCATTTCCGGCTATAACTATGCAGACAGCCAGACTATTCAATCGTGAACTCATAAACATTATAACAACTGCATATATGTAACTTGACATACAGTTTCTGCTCAATATGCCGCGGGTCCGGGGGAAAGGAACCTTTGATAGTTTAATTGCCACAGAGTAAATAGTAATGACTGCTTTCATGTCCGAGGCAGGGCCACCTTAGAACCACTGCGACGTGAATTTATTAAAACTGTAGTAGCTGTTAACAACACAACAGACACTAAAATTTAAAGTAATGCGTGACTCAGTGTCAAGGAATAATCCAAGATCGGATACCTCGCCATCTACACTGACTAACCATTAGCCCGTAACACGATCCGTCAATCGATTACCTTCCAGGCAAATGGCGTAAAAAAAATGCTCTTAGTTTCACTTTGCTCGGATGTCCATCCCAGGACAACTCACTTAGGAAATACTGTAGATATATCGTTTCCATTCTTGATCTTATTTTTGTATGTATATTTATTTATTTATTGTTCTTCATTTTTATTTTATTATAAAAAAATATTTATTATATTAATAACTATTATTATTATTATTATTATTATTATTATTATTATTATTTTTATTATTATTATTATTATTATTATTATTATCATTATTATTATTATTATTATTATTATTAATTATTATTATTATTATTATTATTATTATTATTATTATTATTATTATTATTATTATCATTATTATTATTATTATTATTTTTTTTTTTTTTTTTTTATTATTTTAATTTTTATTATTATTATTATTATTATTATTATTATTATTATTATTATTATTATTATTATTATTATTATTATTATTATTATTATTATTATTATTATTATTTATTTATTATTATTATTATTATTATTATTATTATTATTATTATTATTATTATTATTATTATTATTATTATTATTATTATTATTATTATTATTATTATTATTATTATTATTATTATGCCCCCCAGGCCCTTATGTGGATCATTGACCTGTTCCTGGGTGGGCTAATCCCCGTAGAAAAAATAAATAAAAGGATATAATATATGGGATAGTATATTTAGATGACAGTACCTGTTCTCGTGAAGTGTTGGGCCACAGAGGCCCTTAAACCACTGTCCATCTCCATGAGGACGTGGTCGCCTCGCCTCACCAGTGTGTCCATATCCTTTGGGAACTGTGCGTGTGTTCTCCAAATGAGACGACCTTCCTTCTCCTTGTCGGCGATCTCCCGATATATACCCGATTTAACTGTCTAGTAATATTACCAGAGAGTAAACGAGCTCTTGTTTTTAATATTATATTGTTATAACTGTGCCTCAACAACTAAGCTTTTTATGCGTGTAACTATATCAGTAATTGCATTAGTCCATCAACAATTAAAAATTATGGGTGATACAGCTCTATTAAAAACGAGTTAAATCATCGAGGAGTTAATATAACAATAATTGTTATA